AAATGAGAAAACATATTGAAGCTGCTTCAGGCAAGGACTCTAATCTTATTTTTATTCCCTCATTAGACTAATAACAAAGGAATTAAGGAACTTTTCTAAATGTGTAGTTATGAGTAGCAAATAGAGGATTAAGGAGACTGTTCTGCTCTGCCAAAGAATACCCTCATGTTCAATGCCAATGTCATATTGGAAATCAAGTGACAAAGTCCAGACGGGTCCTTACTTCATATATTGGCCAGGGATTCATATAATAATTAGTGTTCGATGTAAGTTTTATTCCAAAATTCTTATAGTGTAAAAGGTAATACTATCCTAGGCATTTTATAAAATCTTCTAAACTAGTTTATAACGGTCTCAAAACATAGCTAATGCACAAAATAGAATAAGTAATCAACTCTCTGTAGCAAGAATTAGAAAATATATTTGTCTATTTTATCTGAGAAAAAACACTGCAGTTTTATAAACTGCACTCAAAGGAACAATTTCCTTCTTCATCAGAAGTGAAAAAGAAATATGTTTTAAAGAAGAGTAGAAGAAAATGAAATCTTGAGCAGACACTGAAAATAATTTTTTTCAAAACAGGTGAATAGGATCACTATTTTTTTTTAAAGATTTATTTATTTATTTATTCATATAGAACTGGGGTACAGGCCAGAGATGCGGAGGGTGAGAGGATTCACCAGAGACAGAGTGGGGTGCAGAACAGGCAGATCGACGAAGTACACTGCTGAGGCGAGCAGCGGGCGGGTCAGGAGAGGTCTGCCACGCCATGTGGTCTCCTCCGGGGGCAGGCGGGAATCGAACTCATGCGGAAGTGGCTTAAGCTTCTCAGTGCAGTGCTTTAACCCGCTGCGCCACCAGGGAGGGCCAGGATCACTATTTTAATTACAATGTAACAGGCCCCCCATGACTACTGCTGCTGGCAGGTGGTATGTCCAGTCTTGGTGGCAAAGTCCAACACTAACCAGGCTTATGGGTTGAACCCTTGGGTGCCAGAGAGAGAGGGAGAGAGAGAGGGAGGTGAGGAGGGAGGGGTCCTCTGAGAGTTCAACCTGCTTGCCAATCCCAAGGTCCAGTGGTGTCTGCCTGAGCAGCATGCAGCAGCCCCCAGGACAGTCTGGTGGACTCCAACAGCAGCAATGGCAGCAGTAATTACTTGCCCAGTCTCAGCATAGGCTGGGGTTTTACTTATGAATACCACATCAGGAAAATGGACCAATCAGTTTCAAACTCTCACCAGCAGTATTCAAGTATATTGAGACCATTCAGGATTGTAAATGGACCAATCAGATTTGAGTTCAACTAGCACAAATCAAACAGGAACTGTAAATGGACCAATCAGGCTCAAATGGCATTTAACTTCAAGTTTTGAGAGGGCTAGGGATCATCAGAGCTAAGACCTCCATAGGGCAGAAAGATTCACTGGCATTCAGAACTCTACAGACCATATTAGTTCTCCACTTCAAACTATAACCTTACCACTTCCCATCCCTCCTCTTCTGCCTCTGCAAAATTGTACTACTGGCCTGTGTCTGGTGGCTATAAAAGAGTTGTGTGCACTTGCTTACGCTAACAAGTCTCAAAGGACTGTACATCAGTGCTGCTCTCTAGCACCATAGCTTGCTACCTGGGCTGCCATGATGACAAGCACTGGCCACCTGTGACTGACACTGTTGACCTGTGTTTGGTTGACTGAGAAATCTCCACTACTTTTGGCCCTCTGGCACTGATGTCTGGTTCTGTCATCAGAACCAGCCCAACCTTCAGAAGGGTGAGAGGTAGACTTTGGTGATACCTTATAGCACCCTGAGATTAATTCTAACTGCCACCATAGGGTGGATCCTGGCCCACCACTTACCAGTACCATCAGATCCAGGCACTCATCAAAGAGGCAGCGCCAGCCAGTACAAGCACCGTTTGGTTTGGACTATTGGACACTGCAGGCATTAGGTAAGATCGGACAGCCAGGCATTTGTGACCTTAGAAACTCTTTCCTTTTCCAATTTGCCCCTTTACTGATGATTCGCCTTGTTGCTGCACACTGAGCTTGAGCTATGTGTTACAACTGTGAACACACTGATGAAAACATTCACCCCTCAGTTTTTGCACTGTATTAACAAAATTAAAATTCAGAAAATAAGCATTTTATTTCACACCATAAGAGATTGTGATAGAAGGAATGCTAGGAATAAAAAAAAAAATACTGAGGAGTGATATACTTTATTTTAAGATATTTGTCTTAAAATTTTTGTGATATAGCATATTTGGTTTTCCAGATTGTTTACTTTTCACTTACATGCCTCAGTTTTTACAAAAGGCACATTTGTATTTTAAAAAATCATAGAAATAATTAGCTTTCTCCAAAATCATGTTATTTCCTGTCAGTAAAAGATACAGTGATACAATTTATGGATGTCCTGGAAAAGGTACCAATGACAAATTTACATGAAACAATTAGCTTAATGTAATATAGTACCTAGAATCACAGAAAATAAAAGTGTGAACTATAAGATATGACTATGCTATGGTGACAACAGCAGATCCAACCTGCAAGTATGTGGAGTTTCTAAAAAGTCAACAACTCCATAGGGGAGACTACCCTAAAATGTAATAAAGCTACAATCATAAAATTTACCCCAGCTCTTCTGCTCTTTTTTTAATTCCTGAATTATAGTTTAAAGCCTTGAACATCCGACAATCCCATGACTCATTATCCAAGATGAACAAATCACTTCCTCATGACTGTTGTAGCAGTTCTTCAAACTGACTATATTTGTAAAGGTTTTCTAGAAAAACAGGCCAACGTGGCAGGTTAGAAAAGTCTAAATTTACACAGTAGGCTAGCAAGCTGGAAATTTAGGAAAAAGCAACATTGCAGTGTAAGCATAAAGGCAGTCTCAAGACAGAATTCCCTCTTCCTTGGAAGACCTGTCACCTTTCTTTCATTTGTTTTTGTTATAGTAATATTGGTTAACAAAATTATATATAAGCCAGAGTTATGTGCACCCTCCAGGTGAGGCATACTGCCTCAGCACCCCTCCCACGAGGCACTGAAAGCCCTCCACTGTAGCCCACTGGGACGTCTTCCCATCTTGTTCTCCAAACCTCACTCCCCTTAATGCAGGTCATATTTCCAGGTTTTGTTATTAGTTAGGATTGATCTGACCCTTTGTTTCGTTTTTGTGTATTCCACATGAAAGTGATGGCATCTAGTATTTGTCACTCTCTGACTTACTTTGTTTAGCATAATCCCCTTCAGTCCTGTCCATCTAGTCACAAATGGCCAGAGTGTGTCTTCCTTTTTATACTGAGTAGTATAGCTTTGTGTATATACTACATATCAATCTCCCTACTCTATTCTGTTGTCTTGGCCACAGGTTGGATATTGGAAATAGTACTGCAGTAAATATAAAAATATAAAAATGCAAATATCTGGTCCCTCCCTGAGGGTGCAATAGGTTAAAGCACAGCACTAAGAAACTAAAGCCACTTCAGCATGTGTTCGATCACCGCTTGCCTTGGAGGTGATGCACATGGCTCAGCAGACCTCTCCTGACCTGCCCGCTGCTGATCCCCTTAGCAGTGTACTTCATCAATTAGTCTGTTCTTCTCTTTACTCTGTCTCTGGTGAATCCTCTTATTGTCCCTGCACCTCTGGCCTATATCAAATATATATAAAGTACATATTTCTCCTTTAAATGAATATTCTGCAATCATTGCATAGATATGTATGAGTACAATTGCTATCGATGGGAATTAAAAGATCCCAATACACAGTTGGTGAAGTTTAGATTGATCCTGCTCATATGGAAACAATAAAGATGTTTCTCAAAATATTAAAAAGGTATTCTTTCTCCTAGGACCTTCCAATTTATTGGATGAGACCCACCTTATTTTGGTTATTTGATTTAAACAACCTAAAACAACAAGAGAAACAACAAAACTTCACAGAAACATTTATAAAAATTTTTAAACATATCTCTATGTACTAGCAATGTTAACAAAAGTATTCACCATGCTGACCTAAAATAAAGTATTTTGGGGCTCCCAATGGCATTTCACTAGAACAGAAAATGACAATTATAACCCCTTTATTTTGGGTCACTTTTTTTTTTTTTTCAAATCTAACAGCAAATGTTTTGTTTATACAAGCTCTACAAGTGTGAAAAACACAAAACTTATGTAAAATATCCTGTAATGACCAAAGTAAACTCTTGGATGTCAAGTTCAACTAATGACACTGCCATTTATGACTTAATTGTCAAAGGTACACCTTTTTTCTTGACATAATTATTTAAAAAGACATTTATCAAATGGTCTTTCCCATAACAGAATGTAACTATGCATATAGATACATTTACAATGATTTCATTTTTGCGTGTACTATATTTTCATTGTTTTATTTATTTATTTATTTTAATTGCGGTAAGTTGATTTGCAACACTCCATATAATTTAGGAGTACAGGTTCACAACTCTCTTCAGGTGTTTCCTATGTCTTAAATTTCACCAAATTTAATTAATCTGATTTTTAATAATAGTGTATGACAGACAACATATTATTTGGAAGAAAAAGTCTATAATTTATAATTTCAGGGCCCTCCCTGGTGGTGCAATGATGAGGATGCAGCATTGCAAGTTGGCCGCAGCCACCTCAGCACAAGTTCTATTCCTAGCCCTGGAGGTGATGCCCATAGCGAGGCAGACCACTCCTTTCTTGCCTGCTGATCCCCTAAGCAGTGTACCTCGTTGATCTGCTTCTGCTCCCCACTCTGGTGAATCCTGTCACTGCCTTTGCTCCTCTGGCCTGTCCCCCAGTTCTGTATGCATAAATAAATCTTCAAAAAATTATAATTGCACCAACTTTATTAGTCTGAAAGTCTTAAAACGTCAGAGATAGCAATAATCAAATTATCCAGTACCTATATAGTAAAAACTTGTTACTTTTTTCAGTTGTTGTTGTGTTATGGGTACAAAATGGAGAATGTTATGAATAAAGTATTAGGTACTCTCTGACCATGGTAGTGCGATAACTTGTTGATTGTCAAGGAAATCTTCATCTTCATTGTCTGAGCTGCTCTCGGGAAGTGTCAGTAAACACTGAATGTCGGTATCTTTTTCAGAAGAGCTGAAAATACATTGAAAGATCAATATATAATATTCAGAACCAGATTTCAACACTTCATTTATCTTCTGATCAATATTACATAAGTTAAAATCACTGAAGGCCAGTAGATGAGAAGGGGCTGTTCACTGTGCCCATTACACCAACCCTCCTTTTAATGAAAAATTCTAATCATTCTTTCTTTTTCCAGAAATAAAGCCAAAGTAGAACCAAGGAAAGATTTTATGGCCCCTGGTTCTATCTTTCATTGATGATTCAGAAAGCACTGCAAAAATATGCAGAGCCGAGGGTCATCATTAACAACATTCATCATTACATAGGCTATTTAATACAATCCCAGTGAATAGACTGCCAGATAAATTACCTCTTTTGTGTACAGTAAATTAGGACTATGTGGATAGCCAGTCAAGATATGTCAAAACCAAGATTAATGACAGCAATTATTTAGTTATTTTATTTTGTTCCAATTTATTATGGAGAGGAACTGGAAGAAGCTCTAACATGCTGGTATCTGAGGTTTAAGAGAAGAAGGGGAACAGAAAAGAATCTGAATCATTTAAACTTTTTGGTCCAAGTGATCTAGATTTTCACAGCCCATTCATGCCCCTAAGCAATATATAAGACTGTGATATATATATATGTAACTGTTATTTGGATTCTTACTTTTGTCCAACACAGGCTAAATCAGCAGTCCCTAACCTCTGATCTGTGAATCAGTGAAGATTAGTAATTTCATTTTTCACTGGTACAAGAAAAGTATGAAAAATATGACAAGGCAGTGACTTTTTCATGACATTTTTTAAAGAACTATATTTTGTTAGCGTGATTTTATATTTATTAGCAAATACCTTGCTTTTATGAAACGATAGTGAGGGTGTGTCATAGGTTAAATTATTTGCTTTTAATGAAAACAAATAGCAATAGATCCTTTAAAAAATAAATTTTAGTGATGTTAGAAATGCAACAATCCAAGAACTACAGGTAAATGATGTCCTTCTTCTGATATACATAGTAACAGACTCGTGATTCCATCTTACTACAACATTAGATTTCCAACCAATAAAAGGAATTTAAAACTCAGAGGATTTTTATTTTACTTTATCTTAATACTTATTGAAGGACATTCCCTACAATTTCGATAAATTGCAACATGTCAATAATGTACTGACATAATAGCCTACTTTTCAGAAGCATTTATTATCATAACCTTTATCAATTAATCACCATTAAAATATGATACAAATCAAAATGTTATCATTAATAATCTAGGATAAATTTCAACTAAATATTGTTTCTAAAAACCCAACTCACATTAAGTAAGATTTTGTTATAGCAAAATAGTGAACTTTATTAGGTTAATTAATGCAGCTAAAAATTGTTTTTCAATATAAGAAAAAAATGCTGAATGATTATTAAAAAACCCCAAAGTCTTCTTCATAGTTTGGCATACATTGCATAGCAGAGAATCGTCTCTTCACATGAAAGAAACAACATCTTAAGCCTTTTCTTAAATTTTTATAATATCAACAAAGGACCCACACATTTTTGCAAATAGCCATTTAAGTACACACATAAAGACAATCTTTAAATAGTAAATAATGTTGGCTGTCAAAATTCTATTATATACTATATATAAACCTTAGGGTTAACCTACCTCTCTTCCCCACCTTCACAGGGTTCCTTTGCACATGAGATGTTAAGGAGCTCAAGGGCAGTCTGACTTACATTCAGTGAATGATTGTGGAAGCCTGGTGACTCTTCTGAGGTTAGGTTGTAAAGTTTTTCTGAAGGATCTGAAATAGTTTATTTCATGCACTGTCAGCACATAAATTCAAGAAACAAACGCATAGCATACTATGATGAAAACTTCCCAGTTAAAGTACAAGCAGCATAAAGAAGATAAATACAGACTTCAGATCTTCTCACAATTAGTTCTAAGTTTTATGAAGTGTGTGGACATGGTATGAAGTTTGATTTTAATCAAGTAAATTCTCCGATTTGGGTTTTTCAGCTTTACTGAGATAAAAGTGACACTTAGCACTGTATAAGTTTAAGGTGTACATGTTAATTTGAAACATATACTACATATATATATATATATATATATATATATATATATATATATATATATATACTGCAAAATGATAACCTCTATCATATTAGATAACACCTCTACCCGATCTCATAATCATGGCTTTTGTGTGTATGTGTGTGTGGAAGTAACATTTAAGATCTACTCTCTCTGCCACTTTCAAGTATATAATGCACTATTATTAAATGTAATTGCTATGTAATATTTTAGATACTTGAATTTATTCATCTTATAACTAGATTTCTTTTTTTTAGTAACATCTTTCCATTTTCTCTAACATCAATCACTAGTTAGGTTAATTAATGCAAGTAAGATGATTCTTTTCCTAATACAAGATGAAAAGCTAAAAGATTATTAATTTCAAGTCTCTTCATTTTTTTGGACATACATTGTATGACAGAATTTTCTCTGGAAGTCTAGTCTCTGCTTCTGAGTTTGGCTTTAGTTAGAGTCCACATACAAATAATATCATATAGCATTTGTGTTCCTCTGTCTGACATATTTTACCTAGACATACTGATTTTTAAATTTGTGTTATAGTTGTCAAATGTCCTGAGAATTCACAAAATTCCAAAGAAAATCACTTGTCTACATGCTAAAAATATGATCTATTTTATTCCTCTGAGAAATAAAAAGTTGGACTGACCCTTATATACTTTGAGACAAAGTTTACTTTTTTAAAGATTATTATTTTTTTTTAAAGATTAATTCTCTAGTGAAAGAATTCACCAGATACAGGATGGGGAGCAGAGTAGGCAGATCTATTGAAGTACACTGCTGAAGGGAACAGTAAGTAAGACAAGAGAGGTCTGCTGTGCCATGGGGTCACCTGTCCTACGATCTACCTCAAGCTGCAGTGGCTGCCCATAGCTTGATAGTGCTGATACTTAGCTCCCTGTGCCACTAGGGAGGACCCTGAAGCAAAGAAGCCCTTTGTTTTCAAGTCCCTTTAGTTGTTTCATTCACAAAAGAGGATTCCAGAATACCAAAAGATAAATTTTAAAATGTTCATCACTGTTTCCAATAAGAGAGAGTTTATAATTTCAAAATGATTATATCTCACAAGATACCATGTAGTGAAATCAAAGAAGGAATCAGAAACAAAAATAACTATAATACAGTAAAAGTCAAAATCATCAGGCAACTATAGAACAGAGACATTCAGTGGAGGAGGAGAAAGGAATAAAGATCAAGTGCCTATTATCAAGACAAAAAGATAAATTGTTGATTAGCAGGAAGGAGAGGGGAAAAGAGCACAAGGGGCTATGGTGATGGTGCACAGGTGAATTGATTGTGGAATTTCAAGGGGAACCATAGATTGTACAAAATGAAGGATGTTGTAATGGAGATATTAAAAAAATAAAAATAAAATACGAGCCCATGTGTGCATGTTAAAAAGACTTTCAATAAGAAATTCTGGAGAAGATGTGGAGAAAGAAGATCCTTATGCTGTGGATGGGAATACAAACTGATGGAAAAATAAATAAAGTAATTTGCGTTTACCTTAAAAAACTAAAAATGGGGCCCTCCCTAGTAGGGCAGCCATTTAAAACACAGCACTAAGAAGCTAAGGCCACTTCAGCATGAGTTCGATCCCCAGCCCCATGGTGCCCGCTGCTCCCCTCAGCAGTGTACTTCATCAGTCGGCCTGTTCTGCTCCCCACTGTCTCTGGTGAATCCTCTTATCGCCCCTACATCTCTGGCCTGTACCCCAGTTCTGTATGCATAAATGAATAAATCTTAAAAAAACAACTAAAAATGGAAATACCATATACCACAGCTATTCCCTGCTTAGGACTCTGTTTAAGAAACATGGTATCACCAACACAAAAATACTATAGTCTCCACAATCTTTATCTCAGAAATATTTACTGCAGATAGGAAATGGAAGTAGCCTAAATGCCTATCAACAGACTAGTGTATCACAAATGAATTAATTTATACTATGGAATATTATTCTGCCATCAGAAAAGGTGAAATACAGTCATGAATATAAAAGTGTAAGGAGTTATTATGAATTGTAAGCAAGTGAGAAAGACAAGACAAATACTGGGCATTTATTTACATAATAGATTGACAAAATAAAATGCTTACAAAGACCAGAGTGTATTATTAACACAAGGAGTGCTCTAAGAGGGAGGAAGGAGAATGTACAACAGAGTAAAGGGATGGTGATGAGGGAAAAAATGATCATTACTATGTGAAAGGGGGAAGTCTTAAGGCTCTTCATAAAGCTGTCCTATATAAGAACAAATTAAAGGTATAAGAATATACATCTTCACATAAACTTCCAAAAATTTAAATATAGAAATAAATGTTGAAATACTTCAATAGGAAGAACATAATGTCTTTTTTTTTAAGATTGTATTTCTAATTTTTGTAAACAGAGTTGGAGTCTAGGTCAGAGGTCTAGAGGTGTGAGGATTCACCAGAGAGAATGGGGAGCAGAACAGACAGGTTTACTTATGTACACTGTTAAGGGAAGCAGCAGGAAAGATAGGAGAGATAGGGACATGTGGCTCAGGTGCCTGGCTGAGAAGTTCAAGCCATGGGCCATCAAGGCTATAGAGATTTAACCCCGAGGCCACCAGGGAGACCCCATAGTACCTTCTTTTTGTCAAAAGTTGGAAATGTTAGCTAACTTATACATAAAGTTATGCTGTGATAGTGGTAGCAAGTTTTAAAGCCTGATTCTCAAACACCTGCTTTGTTCCCCAAGTTTCCTAATTCAGTTGTAAATTGTTTCTCCAAAATGCTCACATTTCCATTCCTGGTTATCCTGAAATGATTTAATATCATCCATAACAAATCAAAGAACAATCAAAGGAAAAATTAAAATTAGATAATGTAGACATTTCCAATTTTTTCTTCTACCAAATCCTTGGCACCATTATTTTTCACAGAAAGAAGTAATAGACATATCCTAGAGCTAACAACAGGAAACAAGATTTTGCTGCTCACAAAAATGCAGCTTTCTCAGGCATGTGAACACATTTACATTTGTATGAGTGATGAATTGTGTAACAGTGTCTGTGTGAGACTAAAGCTCATGAAGTTTTTCCATTTGGTATCATCAGTAGTGAAATGTGACTGGAATCTTTCTGCCTATTGATGCTAAGCAGAATATAAAAACCTTGTGCAGAATCAGTGAATTTTCTAGAATAGGGCCTGATTTTCCCATTACATCTGTCACCTCACTGGCTGTTGGATTGATTCCGCTGATGTATGATCCTCTTCCTTCCTCAGGAACTGAGCATCTCCAAAGCTATGCACTAATCTAAAGTCAGTTTCTCAAACAGGAGAGTTGTTTCTGGGGTTCAAGTTTGGTGTGTTATTGGGTGGTGTGTTATTGAATACCAAGCATTCCTAGAGTGTCCAGTGTATAAGTTATTGTGTTGTGCCGCTGGGCTATCTGAAAAGCCATGAGGGATCACAGGTTTCATAGTGTGTGTCTGCCCCATTTGTGAAAAGTTATGCTTTGTAATGAAAATACCAATGTCGGATATGAGAAAAAAAGTCACACATACATATGAAGAAAGTAATCATGAATGTGATAAAGGAAATTGAAAAGTTGAAATGTTAATGAGAGAGAGAGAAAATGTTATCACTTTAGATCCAGTGCATTCTTGACATACTTCAACTCAGAATTCCCTTGCAGTAAAAGACTTAACTCCAAGGAGATTCACATTAGATTTTTAAAGCAAATGAATAAGAAATGGGTAAAGAGGGATCATAATTTTTTCACCCCTGCACTCTAACAAAATTAATAGAAATTGCAAGTAAAATAAAGCAAAACCATAAAAGTCAAAAAAAAAAAAAAAAAAAGCATGTCAGTTCACTTAATAAACTGGCAAGGATAGCCAATAAAATATATGGAAGAGTCACAGAGCTGTAGCTGGGGACTACTTCTAACTGCCTTTTCTATTTCCTGCCCAATAACACACCAAACTAGTAGTAAGAAAAGGAGAGCCAAGGAGTGAGAAATGCCCCCCAATATCATACCAATGTGGGGCACACAACACAATCATGAAATAAGGATGGAATATTTTAAAATATTTTTCAAACACATAAAACCCACTAGTGAAGCTTAGCAAAGGCAAGAACATTATAAACCCAGAGGAACAGAACACACTGAAAACAGGTCCAGTAAAATTTGACATATAATGAAATGCAGAAGACAAGAGCACTCAGGAGCCTGATCTCCCCATTCCTTCATCTATCTACCCCATGCTGTTGATGAAGAAAAGAGTAGAGATACAGAAAAGAGGGTAAGATCCAACCATGAACACTAACTCCATAGAGAAGACTGATACATCTTAGTAGAGGTAGAAAGCATTTACTTCAGTAGAATAGTCTCACTGGAAAAGAGATGCCTGGGAACCTAAGCAAGTATACCCACAAAAGGCAAGAAGTGAGATACAAAGGAATAACAATTAGCTACCCAAACAAACTAGAATCCAGCACTCCATAAATAAAAGTTGGAACTAATGTAGAAACATACACTGAAATGGTGTGATGTTATATCTCTGAATCATATATGGTGGTGTTACCTCACTAAAAATGTTCCTTAATTAAGAAAATCTTAAATTGTATATTAAATTATAGTATTGCTCCCTTAATTAAAAAAAATATATATACCTCTATTGAAAAAAATGTTAAAAATAGGTTAATCTGGAGAAAACAGATCAAGATCATAAGTAA